TCCTGCACATAATACCAAGCAGTTCACGAACACCAGCAGGGTGTTGGAGAACTCAGCTCAATTCTGTTTCCTATCTGCCCAGAGACAGCACCAGATTCCCAGGTTAAGGGCGCCGTCCTACAAGACTGCCCTCCACCCCCCGACTCCAGACACCAGTTGCAATTTCCAGGCAGTTCCCTGTGCTTCTGACAGACTGACTAGATTGGAGGTTCCCATGACTCCCGCTTAGGTTCGATTCGTTTGCTGGAGCAGCTCACAGAGCTCAGGAAAGCACTTACCTTTACTAGTTTAATAAAGGATACCATAAAAGATACAAATTAACAGCCAGAGGAAGAGATACACAGGGCAGGGTCCCAAATAAATGAGCTCCTGTGCTCCTGGAGCTTGGGCCCTGCTCAGTGGCACGTGGAGGTGTTCTGGTTCCCTGAGCATAGAAGCTCTCCCTGACTGAGAAGCAGGATCCAACAGCAGCAGAGAGTGATAAGCTCTTCTCTGGGGTTTTGTGAGGGCTTCATTGCATAGTCATAATTGACTAAATTATTGGCCATTGGCTGATCCAACCTCCAGCCCCACCACCCTTGGGTGCGGGTCCAAAGTCTCTCACTAACATGACAAAACACCCATTTCATCTTTAAGACTCTTCAGTGTTTTCAGGAACTGTGAATGAAGACCAAATATACCTGGGAAATACATATTTCATCATATAAATGACCAAATATATGTTTCTTATGATTCATTGTATATCACTGTCTTTTTAACACATACAGGGCCTCTAGTCCTGTCACATATCTCATTCCTGATTTTGAGAATTTGTTTCTTCTCTCCCATCCTCTCTCTCTCTCAGTCTCTCTCAATCTCTCTCATTCTTTCTAACCCTGTCTCTCTCTCTCCTTCCCTGATCTGTCTGGCTAGAGTCTTATACATTTTATCAGTTTTCTCAATGTAAAATATTTCGGTTTTAATGATTTTCTCTATTGTATTTTTTTTTTCTATTTCTCTGGTTTGTGTTCTAATATTTATTCTTATCCTTAGTTTGGGTTTAATTTATTCTTCTTTTTCCATTTTTTTCTTTTTAATGGTAGAGGTTGATCATTGATCTGAGATCTTGTAACTCTAACATAAGCATTTAATGCCATATGTCTCCGTGTATATATTGCTTTAGCAGTGTCTCAAAAATATTGATATGTTGCATTTTTTAAAAATTCATTTTATTGTCATTAATCTACAATTACATGAAGAACATTATGGTTACTAGACTCCCCCCTTCACCAAGTCCCCCCGTACAAACCCCATTACAGTCACTGTCCATCAGCGTAGTAAGATGCTGTAGACTCACTATGATACGTTGCATTTTAATTTTTTCTCAGTTAAGAATACTTCCTGTTTTCCATTTTGGCTCCTTCTTTGTCTCATAAATTGTTTAGAAGTGTATTGTTTAGTTTTCAAATGTTCGGGATATTTTCCAGATATCACTTCATTATTGATTCCTAATTTAATTCCACTGTGGTCAGAAAATATACCTTCCATGGCCTGAATGAATCTTTTTAAGTGTAATGGGATTCATTTTATGGCCCAGAATATGGTCCATTTTGGTAAATATTCAGTGTACATTTGATAACGTGTATCCTGCTGTTCATCTTGTGTTTGAAATTTTTTCTGGTATTAACACAGCTATTCCATTTTTCTTTTGATTAGTGTTGATATGATCTATTTTTTCATCCCTTTACTTGTAACCTAATTGTATGATATTTGAAGTGCATTTTATGTAGGCAGCATTTATTTGATTATTTTTTATGCAATAGATAAACGTTTGTGTGATTAGTCCATTTATACTTAATGTGAGTTATAGATATGGTTGGGTTTAAACCTATCATTTTGGCATTTGTTCTGTTTCTTTTGGATTGAGTTTTTTTTTAAAATTCTATTTTGTCTTACTTCTTATGAATTTTAACTATTTTATTTTGGGGATCACTTTACAGATTATAGTACAAATCTCTCATCATTGTCTACCTTCAAGTAATAATATATCATATTAAATATAAGAACTTAAATAACATAGTTCTATTTTTTCCTTCCTGGCTTGTACTATTATTATCATCATATGTTTTACTAAATTTTCATATCTTGTAAGCCACATACTGCATTTTAGTATTTTTGTTTAAACAATTACTTTAAAAATACATTTAAATAGTAGAAGACTCTTCTTTATTTACCCATGTAGTAACAAATTCTGATGTTCTTCATTCCTTTGTGTGATTCATATTTATGTCTGTTATCATTATCCTTCTGTCTGGGAAATTTTTAAACATTTGTGTCATGTTAGCCTGCTGCTAATGAATTCTTTCAGTTTCTGTATGTTTAAAAAGGCATTTTGTTGTTTTTTGAAGCCTATTTTATGGGGCATAGAATTCTAGTTTAACAACTTTTGTTCTTTCAGTCATTTAAATATTTGCTCTACTGTCTTTTTGCTTGCATTGTTTCTGATAAGAAATCTGCTGTCATCCTTAATTTTGTTCCTTTTTAATGGGTCTTTTTTTCTGGCTTTTAAGATTTTTTCTTTATCATTACTTCTCAGCAATTTGATTATGATGTGCCTTAGTGTAGTTTTCTTCGTGTTTCTTATTCTTGGGTTTCATTGATCTTCTTGAAACTGTGGATTTATAATTTTTATCAGACTTGGAAAATATCAGTCATTATTTTTTTCAAATATATTTATGTCCTCTCTTCTATCAAGAGTTGGTGACTTGACACTACAAAGAGTCTTTATTTGCAACTGATTGGACAATAAATACATATGTAAGAATTTCTTCTCAACCCATTATTCTAAATTTTCATTGGTAAACTCATACATTTTATAATGGGCCCACAAATTTTGTAATGCACTTCAAACATTAAATTTATATAGACCGGGCCCTTGCACATTCTACAGGGGCCTTGAATAAAGTCGCCACACCTCCTGAACTGATCACAGTCCCTTCGGAGGTGCTTTCTTCTGTTACTTTTTAATTTTTTCTTCTCCTCCCCTGACCTCTACTTTCTGTTTCCTCAGTGGTAATCTCATCAAACCAGAAGGTCAGGGTGGTAAGGGGGCTCCCGAGGAGTTCTTGATAGATTTTCTTCTCTTCTTCTATATTCTTTCCTTCGGCCATCCCATCTACTTCTATTGCTTCAGTTACAGTCTGTAGTCAATTCACAAGTTTGTATTTTACTTGAGTGCCAACCTCTGTAAGTCTTACCATACTCTTCCACTTGTATGTTTCATGTGTTTTCAAACTCAAAGTATCTAAAAATATACTTCTGATCCTATCTGAAGCCCCTACCTGTACTATGGCAATGGTCCACACACAGTTACTTGGATCATGGAATCTTTAATGAAATATGCTTTCTTCCTCCTTCTTGGTATTTAAAGTTAAAAATCCAGAGGATAAGGACCTTGTATGAATTATATTCCTAGTATCTAGCATACATTCAATCATTTATTTGACATTTATTTGGTCATTTATTTAACAAATATTTGTGGGTCTGTATCATGTGTCAACCACTGTTCAGGCCCTGGATATACAGTGAACACACAGAAAAAATTCTTTCCCTTGTGCTGCTTAAATTTTAGTGACTGTAGACTTACTAAACAAATAAATGAGTAAAATTTATGGTCATTAGATAGTGATAAATGCTATGCAGAACAGTAAAACAGAGAAGGCATGAGGATATCATTTGTGTTTTGGGGGAATATTGTTCAGTACTACTTTAAATACAGTGGTCAGGGAGATCCAGTGGACCTGAGGGAGAGAATTGTGTGGACAGAGGAACAAATAAAAAGATCCAGAAAGCAGGAATATGGTTCATGTTTTTGAGAAACTGCTAGAGAGGCAGTTTAGACTGAATAGACCAAAGGAGGAGATAAGATAGGTAAATGAGTCTCACCCAGAGAAATAAATCCCTATCTCTTGTGGGCTTCCAAAAGTACTTTATTTATGTGTTTTAATCTAACTCTTATTCCATTGCAGTGTAATTGATTTTATATATTTTGCCTTTTCTCCTAGGGCATATACTTTTTGAGTAATGGGATCAAGGTTTATTTATGTTAGATTCCCATTTTCTGTAGTATGGTGGACATAAAATAACTTTCAATAAGTATTTTTAGATGCCTGAAAGAAAATATTAAAGCATCATGGTTATTTTAAACATTTTTTAACAGTTGGCTTTTTTTTGGTTATCATTAATCTGCAATTACATGAAGAACATTATGTTTACTAGGCTCCCCCCTTCACCAAGTCCCCCCCACATACCCCTTCACAGTCATTGTTCATCAGCGTAGTAAGATGCTGTAAAATCACTACTTGTCTTCTCTGTGTTGTACAGCCCTCCTCGTGCCCCCCACGCAGCCGAGTGGAGAAAGACAAGTACCAAATGATTTCACTCATATGTGGAGTATAATAACAAAGGAAACTGAAGGAACAAAACAGCAGCAGAATCACAGAACCCAAGAATGGATTAATAGTTACCAAAGGGAAAGGGACTGGGGAGGATGGGTGGGAAGGGAGGGACAAGGGCAGGGAAAAAGAAAGGGGGCATTACAATTAACAGTTGGCTTTTAAATTTATATTTACTCTTCCAAAGTCAATGTACTGTTTCTAAGTACTAATATTTCCCAATGGCCACATACCTTTAAGTGAGTATTGATTTTCCATCTTCATTAGCTCTACTTGGAACTGAATCATGGTAGACAATTAGGTTTGATGCTTGACCCATCAAAATTCTTAGCACCTGGTCTAGGAAGCATAGTGGAAGGTTATATCTATATTTTTAGTCTATGCCAGGAAACCATGCAATGGTAAGAAACCGGATGTGACTGTGGGTAACCATAGAGTTCATATTATCAGGCATATCCAGGGAGAAGATTAAGACTGTACTTTTCTCTCTCAGTCCCTGCCTTCTGATTGTGATTTGAATATTCTTGATTGAGAAAAGCAAAGCAAGAACACGATTACTTTCTGCTGTCATCCACCCCGCCTCAAAAATTTCCAAATTCCCTTTTTAATTTCCTGGGTTCGTACCCCATAGACAATAGGGTTGAGAACTGCAGGAATCACATGGTGCAGGACATTAAGTAAGACAGGGATATCCGGAGAAATCTTTTTCTTGGCCATATGGGTAAAAACAAAAACCAGCAGGATGGTGCTGAAGAAAAGGATGAGAATAAAGTGAGAGCCACATGTGCTCAGGGCTTTGGCAGTTGCCCCTTTGGCCTTGAGTCTAAGAACAGCTTGGAGGATGAAGGTGTAGGAGAGGAAAATAAGGATGAGATCAGATCCCAGAAGAGTCCAGGCCACAATTAATTGGTAGATTTTGTTAAGGGCAACATTATCACAGGAGAGCTTGGACACAGAGAGGTTGGCACAGATACAGTTTTCAATTATATTTTCTCCACAATAAAGGAGCTGGGCAGAGAGGATGGGAATAGGTGCAGTAAAAAATGTATTCCGGACCAAGATGAAGACAACAGCCTTTGCTATAAACTGGTCAGTGATGATGGACGGGTACCTCAGTGGGTGGCAGATGGCCACATAGCGGTCATAGGCCATGACCATGAAGGTGCAGGACTCCATGGGCAGGAAGTTATTCATAATGAACATCTGTAGGAAGCAGGCAGAGAAGCTTATTGACCTGAGGTCAAACCAGAAGATGGCCAGGACCTTGGGGATGACCGTGAGGCAGAGCACCATGTCCAGCAGGGAGAGAAGTCCGAGCAGGTAGTACACAGGCTCGTGCAGAGCGGCCTCCCTCCAGATGGTGATGAGGAGAATAGTGTTGGCCCCCATGGCCAAGAGGAAGAGGAGGCTGAGGGGCAGGGACAGCCCGAGCTGCCAGCTGGGGGACCTGACAAAACAATTTAGGAGGAACTCAGAGACTTCAATTGTGAGGGAACCATTACTATAGGGCAGCATTGACCGTGACTTTAGCAAGGTAGGTATCCTTGAGTAGCTGAAGAAGAGAGAAAGAGTTAATTCTTCCCTAGGCTCTGATGACTATGCACTTAGCTTGTGCAATCCTTGAAGGTAAGGACACAGTCCACCTCATCCACCCCACATCCCTTGTGCCTAGTCCATCTTTTGGACACACAGGTGGCTACTAGACATTTGTTGAATAGATAAAATAGTGTTTCCCCATCTTTGTTTTTTCAGCTGTGTTTCATCTTACATTTTCTCTTGTGTGAATGTATCTTTTCAATTTATTTGCTTGGCTAATATTCAGTGAATCAAGTTACTTAGGTATCAAGTGTTATTTAAAATCAAAGGCTGAGAAACATTTCAGTGCAAATATTAAAATACATAGAAATGGGTTCTAAAGGCTAGAGGGCAGCCACTCTCAAGTTTTTAAGGCAGTAAAAGGTGAGACTTTCTGGAGGGAGGATAGACAAGGTACACAGACCAAACCTGACAAAAATGAATAAAAATCATCTATTTTGTGTCCATATCTAATCTCTATCTGCATAAATACCCATCCCCATTCCTATATTTATAGCTATATCAATGACTAGATCTATATTTGAATACCTTGAATACATCCATGAGCAGGTAAGAAAGAAAGAACTATCAGAGTAGGGATTGAGTAAAATCTAGTCATAAAATTGAATACTAATATTGGCTTTCAATCTGAGGGCATTTGAGAATTACATGAACTTATGCACCATTTTTCAGGACCTAAAATCCAGTGACAGAAGATAAAATTCAGGCTCAAGCAGCTGGGGAATCTAATAGGTAATATCCCATTAAGACAGGGCTTTACAGCACTACATACCGAACAAAGGTGTGCATTAGAAACAATCCTTCATCTCCATCTCTCACTCCCACCTGGAATTGCAAACAAAACTACCTACCTCAAAGCTTGTTATATGGGAGAAATCGTCCCTGTAGATTCTGAAACACAGGTTAGTCCTCATGTGACTTTGTTGCCTGAGTTCAAACCAACTGTTTGGCTCAAAAAAGTTATCCTGGTTTGGTAGTGGCCCCATAAAATAACAGAAACAAGCCCAAATTCTTAATTTTTTTAAATCTCAGGCCTCTAAGAACTTCAACACAAAAAATTCTGAAGAGATGGAGTTGTATATAGTAAAAGAGGAGATTCATTAAAAAAATCATGAATAAAAACCAAAGATATTGGATCTGTTTGGCGAGAATGTTGAAAAATTTCCTTACTGGGCTTTAAGTAATGAAATATAAGTTTAAAACTATAATAGAAAAGCACACTTAAAAGAATAAATCATAGCTCCTAGTAATGCAAATATATAATAAATAAAACAAGTATCTTAAAAGCTAGCTTTAAGAGTAGATTGGCCACAGTTGAAAAGATAATTAGTGAACTGAAGATAGAACTTGAGGAAGTTTTTAGACTGAACCTCAGTAGACATATAGAAAATGCAAAGGTGTAGTTAATAGCAAGGACAAGGGAATCTGATGGACATCATCACTCTGTCTTTTTTATCTTACTGGCATTAAGAAAAAGTCTAGAATTAATATTTTTCTCAGGGTACTGGAAACTATAAAAAGTAACAAAGCAGATTTGAAAATGAGCCAGAAATTTTGAAAAATACAATATCAAACAAAAGAACTCAACTCATGAATTCAACAGTAGACTGGAGCTAGCTAGAGAGAAAGTTAACTGTTAGAAGAGAGGTTGGAAGAATCTACCAAGAATAAAGATGGAGAGAAAATAAACACAGAAGGACAACACACAGAACAAAGCATAAGAGAAATTACAGGATAGAATATTCAAATCACACATGTAATCAGAGCTCCAGATTGAAGAGGAGAATGAAGTGGAGGCTTTTCAATTTTTAGAAGATAGAAAATACATCAATAAGCAGATTCAAGAATTGCAACCAACCTCAAGTGGGGTAAATAAAAATAAATGTACACCTAGGTATATTGAGATATATCTAAATATATATACCTGGATTTCATGGTCTAACTTCAGATACCAAAAGAAAGGAGAAGATCTGAAAAATCAGTATGACTGTTAAAATCAGAACTTGTGTGAGGCAGGTTGCATTAACCAAGATATTCTTGGCCTCTTTTTCAAAGAGTAACTGTACTCTCACTGCACCTCCTCATTTTCCTCCTAACCCCCTGTATTTATATCGTTCTGCCCTCTTTTTCCTGACTGTAAGATTTCTTTGCCCAGGCTAGTAAGATCTCCATACCCATTTTGTTGTTCCAAGTAGCCTCCAGGCAGCGTTCTTGGGGCAGCAATGATCTCTAAGGGGCTATTGTACAAGGGACCCTTCTCAGTAACCCAGCATGGAAGATTGCTGTTCTTGGTGTCTGGAGGAGCCAGATCTGTGCAGAGATTTTTCTCAGTAATCTTTTTCAGTATTAAATTAGCATATATCAAAAGTGAATGAGAATTTGTATTAATCTTGAAAAAAACTATTGAGTCTGTTATCAAACCTGTCAATAGGGTCTGGAGGCAAGAGAGAGGGGTAAGGGGTAATAATAAGGAAGAGGGGAAGAGAGAATGTCTTTGCGTGGACCATGGTGCTCTTGGCTTGCTTCTGCTGGGCATCTCTGTCCATCTGGAGGAAGTGTGCACAAAGAATGAATCTAGGCCTACTAGGGGGAAGCTAGACTGGGAAAGAGTGGAAAGAGCAGGGAGAACTGAAGAATGCATGCACAGAACATAGATGATAGAGAGAAGATAGGAAAAGAGAAAAGTGAAATTAAAACAGAAGAGATTGGATTTGAAATTGAGGGAACAAAGGAAACAAAAGAAGTAAAAGGAAGAAGAAGTGAGAGGAGCAGAATGAGAAAGTCAGGGAAAGGCAGACAGATGATGATTTCTGAGTATTGATGATCAAGGGAGTGTGACTGGGAACCTTCTTTCCCTTCCAAATCTGCATTCCCCTTCATGTGCCCATGAACGTTCAGGAAAAGCTGTTCAGAATATCTCCCGCATGATACTCGGCCGCAGATCCTTGAACTCCCACCTGGACCAAACCTCTTCCCAGAGCACACAGAAGTCTGGGCTCCACTTTGGCAGTCACCTCCATTTGGCCCTGTGCCATTTCTCTCTCCCGCTTGCCTTCAACCTTTATCCTCACACTTCACCCCTGCAGATTTTCCAGTTGCAAGCCCAGCTTGAAGCCCACCACAGTCCCTGTTCTGGCTGTATCAATATCATGGTGGTGGCTTGGTGCCTTCATTTTCTGGAGGAGCCAGACTTACTGGATGGAGACAGTGCTCTCTGCCAGGGAGGGAGATTTCTGGCTTTGTCTGTCTGAATCTTCTATATACTGGCTTTCAGAAAGGAGAGCTTATCCTTGAGCTGCAACTTCCTCTGCTTCCCTCGGGAAAGACTTTCTTGCTGGCCAGGTAGGGGCCAGGGAATCAAGAGACTCACATTTTCTTATCCCTTAGGGAGAAAGCTTTCCTCTCAGCTCTTCACATTCTATGATCTCTGTGCAGAGTCAATACTGCCTCTGAAGGCATAAAGAGAGTCTCAGAGTTAATCTCCCTGCAGGAGCTGACTGGATAGGATGTGATACTTAGGAAACAAAAGTATGCTTAATTATATAAAAGCAGCATCTTAGGGCAAGAAGACTCAAGGCAAAATGCCATTGGTACCAAGGTGTGATTTTCCAGAAATATTTTCTTAAATAAATATACATAGTGTACAAAAAACCAGCCATGTGTATCTTCTATTCTGATAGTTTGTGGTAACTATAAAGCACTCAGACCAGCTCCCTAATTTTTTAGTATCTATGACTAAGGGTTCTACTTGAGGGAAATTTTTTCAAGAAGCCCTATTCCTGTAACACAATAGAAAAATTCAAGATGATTCTTTATATCTAACTGCTTACTTTATAATATAGTCCATTAGTGCCTAGCAGGTCTAAGATATGGTAAAGAGCAGGTAAATATTTTCCACCCCTGGTGCCAAGGGTCTGAGCTCCCAGGTCTGCCACTTGTCAAGTCGTTTGAACTATATATCTCATATTCTTATTTGTCTATTTGTTGTGAGGAATAAATGTGGTTATGTTAGGAGAGCCCTTGTTACAATGTTATTATTGTTACTGTTACTAGAAAATTTGTCTTCACAAGTTTTTTTGGGAAAATCATTAGTCAGTAATAAACAAATACCTGCTACTATTCACCTTGGAGACTTTTACACAGAATTGCCCATGTCAGAAGCAGTTTGATCTCAAATTAGTGCCTACTACTTAGAGCATCTTCACTTACAATTGTTGGCTTCATTCTTACTTACTTTTTATAATTTTCTTAGCTCACAGAAGCTTGATAAATTTGGTTGCATCACACACTGGCAGTCACATACATCTCTAATGTAACTCAGGTTCACCTCTTGTGGATTACTACCTATCTCTTAGAGATTACCCTCAAATTAACCTATAGATTCACTGTAATCTTAATTAAAATCTTGGCAGCCATCTTGTGGAAATTGACAAGATGATTCTAAAATTTAAATAGAAATGCAAAGGACCTAGAAGAGTAAAGTCAATTTTAAAAAGCAACAGTGCTGGGGGACTTAACGTTACCTGATTTCATTACATAACATAGTGAAAGGTCATGAGGTCAGTGTGTTGCTAGTATAAAGATAGGTAATGGAAAAGAATGGAGATTCCAGAAATACACCCATACATTTACAGAAAATTGAGTTTTGACAGAGTGCCGGAGTAATTCAATGGGAGAATGATAGTCTTTTCAACAAATGTGCTGGAACAGCTGCATTTCCATTTGGGAAACAAAAAAAATGAACCTCAGCCATGATCTTATACCACATACAAACATTAAGCTACAGATTTATACCTAAAAGCTAACACCAAAAAAATCTTACAGACATTGTAGGAGAAAACTGGATGAATTTAAGATAGGCCAATATTTCTTAAATGGGACAAAAGCATATATCAACAATGTTTTAATGATAAATTATATTTCATCAAAATAGAATATAACTGCTTTTCAAAAAACAATTAGGAAAATGAAAAGGCAAGCTCTATGTTCTGAGAAAATATTCATAATGTATATATCTGCAAAGTACTCTTTCTAAAATATATAACTCTTTACCACTCAAGATTGAATTATACTCACACAACACAGCCATGTAGTGCAGCAGTGAGTGTGGCCATGTGGTGAAGGCAGGAAGATAACGAGTTTCTGGTAAAGTTGCTTTGAAGTTGGTTCAGAAAGTCAGTGGGACTAAAGAACAGGTATAATTCAATGATACTTAAGAGTGTTTAGATGTAAACTCTGCACTGGGCCTTGATTTATCCTTCTAGCTGAATATATAAGTATATATATCTACATATGTACACATACTATATATGTATACACACATATACCTTCATACATATCTGTGTGTGTGTGTATATATTTGCTTTGTCCTAACCTCATAGTTGACAGCGTTGAGTGCAGGGGGAAAAACCATATAAATATTGGCCAGAAATATATGAGTATAGCCAGGGATGCCATGACCAAAGTGGTGGGTCAGAAAAGGGGAAAGTGCAAGGATATAGATGCTGAGCACAACACAGACATGGGAGCCATGGGTGCTGAGAGCCTTGACCCGGGCATTCCGTGACGGCAAATGGAACACTGTGCAGAGTATCCTCACACAGGAGAAACCAATTACAATAAGGTCAGTGAATCCCATAGAAAGGGCAACCATGCCAAACAAGTTATTGGCTCTGGTGCTGGTACAGGAAAGGCGGGTGACGCCCATGTGCTCACAGTAGGTGTGTGAGACCCTACAGGCACCACAGAATGACAACGGCAAGATGAGAAACAAAAAGGGATAACAAGAGGTTAAAGATATCACTGTCATGACTACACCAGAATGGCCATCACCTTGTTTGTGAGGATCATGGTCAATCTCAGAGAAATGTGGATGGCAACATAGCAGTCTATGGCCATGACTATCAGTACCCCAGACTCCAGGCCAGTGTAAAGATGAATCATAAACATCTGTGCAAGGCAGGCACTAAAAAGCATTTCCCTGAAATTGAACCAGAAGATGCCCAGCATCTTGCAGATGGTGGCAGTAGACAGGCTTAGGTCAGTGAAGGCCAACATGGTCAAGAAGTAAAACATGGGCTGACGGAGACTATGCTCAGTCTGAATTATAAACAGAATCATATTCCCCAGGAGGGCAATCAGATATATATAGTGCAAAAGGGGAAAGCAATCCAGATATGAAAATTTTCCAGGCCTGGAATCCCCAAAAGGATATAGGAGGATGGGTGGAACTGGGTGGTATTGGATAGGCCATCTTTATGGGTGCTGGCCAGCTTTTCCACATTGTATTAAGACTCCAATCCGATTCATGTTGTTCTTTCAGGTCACAGAGAGACATGGAATTAATTCTCTGCCTTAATACTTAGCAGAAGACCCTAGAGTGGAAAGTGATAAAAAAATTAAAAATGCTCCCCAGTACAGAACTCACCAAAGTCTGGACATCTTGTTCTTATGTCCAAGATACATCCCAAACTTGAGGTTCTGCTAGAGTCCTAGGAGTGATGTAAAATGTACTTATATTTTAGAGGGACTTCAGTAATGTCACAATGGAGAATGGATTGGAGAGGCAGGTGAGTTGAAGTAAGATGAGTGACAGAGGATGTTAGCCTGATCTAAATGAATAGTAATAGAGATGAAGAGGTAATGGCATAAAGAATGAATTGGCAGAGCACAGTGTTTGATGTGACTTGGGTGATGAAAGGGAGTAATAAGCCATGTTGAACTTCTAGGATTCTATCTTGGGCAAAGAGGTGAATACTAGTGACATTCGATGAGATTTCAGATATAATAGAGGTAAGCTTTATTTATTGTAGCTGATGAGTGTAGATGTTGACATCTGTTCTGAAATATCTAAATAGGAAGTTATATTGAATCAAGGAGAGATTCAGCAGGCAGACTATTAGTTCAACTTCCATTGTTGTTGAAACCCACCCAGTTTTGGGCATCAGTGAATTTATAAAGCACAAAAAATTCCATGCTCATGACTCTAGGAACCACAGGATCCCTACTGTGATTAAAACAGTATTATATTTTGTTCTTTTTCATGTTCAAAATATTTATAATCTCTGGAAGGCTATACTGGGATGAATATCACAACAGTAAACGAATCCCTGTGTCCTCAAACACTCCTCAGATAACTACAGAATGCAGAGGTAGAGAAAGAACCTAGTGCAGAGATGAGAAGTCAATGTCTTTAGGGGTAAAAATCTCCTAAGTGTGTTATACAGCGATTCATGAATTCCCTGTTTATTCTCCTGTCTATCTGACTGTATTACAACTTATTGTAAAATATTGAGTAGTTCAAACAAAATAATTAAGCATGTTGAATGCTGTCTGTGGAACTAGGGCATGGACATATTTTAGGATGGGCATTATTCAGTCTAGCACACCTGTTATATTCCTTTCCTTTCTAAGCTACCATTATAAGCTGAGATCTAAAAACACACTCAACATTGGGATTTTAAAAGAGCTGGATTTCATTGGGTCTGCACAGTACAAAGAAGCATGTAGTGATGCCAACTACCATATCACTCATATCCTCTAATTCTTACCCTTGATCTCACTGTCTGGATGTATCCCTTAGGGATGGATGCCATTACATGGAAATGATGGTCATGTTTCCTCTCAAATCTTGCCTTGGTTGGGGATACTCATTATCCCCAGAAGTTTAGTTGTCTGTTTAATGGAAAATCTGAGAAGTCAATCTCAGTCCCAAAGTGTCATCTACATAAGCAGGAAGTCATACTCAGACACAAAGTGTGTCTTCTACAGAAGCAGGAAGTCAAACTCAGTCCCAAAGTATCTTCTGTGCTCAGTCCCACATAAGCAAGAAGTCAAACTCAGTCCCCATCTGTTTTCTACAGAAGCAGGAAGTCAAACTCAGTCCCAAAGTGTCATGTACATAAGCAGGACAAAAGAAAACAATAGTGTCAAACTTCTTACAGTGTTTTTCCTCCTCTCCTGCCCCCAGAAACAGGAATTGGCTTCTCATGTAGTTCATCTCTCCCAAGGTTTCTATGTCAGAAGCAGGAGTTTATTTCTCACTGACATACATACCCCTAAAATCAATTTATTTCAAGGGTGATCTTATTCTTATGGGTTTAAATGCTTTGCTTTGTACATTAAAGCAAAATCTGATCATATGGAAATTTAAAACATTTAGGCAATTGTGAATGATTGTTCAAGGGGGAAAATTTGTTCATCTGATTTCCAAATGTTTTTTTCAGTGTTTATGTGCTATCTATAAATAATGACTTTTTCTCACTTTTGGTATGAAAGGAATCCAAATTTAGCCTTAAGTATAATCTTTTTTTACATGTGCTACCTTTATCCAAAGCACAAGCTTGAAGAGGGGAAATAATGTTGCCACCTGAGAGTTAAATAACCCAATGAATGCTATGGTTAGGACAGAGATACCCAAGGACACCTGAATGGGTATAAGAACAGTCAGGGGAGCAGGACTTCAGTGCTATTGAATTTCAGGCAGCTACAAAAATAACAGAAGGAAGTGACACAGTTAGGGAAAAGTTGTGAAATAACATATACACAGGAAAGAGCGACAGATGGTACATTAGCCCCTACCTGGATATTGAGAGTGTACTTTCAGTTTTGTGCTGTGGAAGCATTCCATTTAATGCAGGTGTGCTGATGTGGATTCTTCTTGTGTAGCTGTGTTCTGAGATGAAATTGTTGAGAATATTAATCTCATACAAATGCTTAGTGGGCATCAGAGTTGACCCTGATGGAAATATTCAGCTAGCAGTAATGGTGACTATGTACAAAGACCCAGCTCTCTGTAGTTCCAGAAGTTTGTAGGGATAGCCAAACGAGCCCTTTTAAATTGGTTTGGAGCACGCTAATGCTTCATGGACAGGGACCTCAGCTAAGATGATCAATGCAGCCCTTGGCACAGGGAGGTGGAGCTGTTCCGTCTGAGCCTTGCAGTGTTGATGGTTTTGCGCAAATCCATTTTGTAAAATGCTCTAGAGTTTCATGACATCCTTAAGCAATTTTGCCTTCTTGGGAAATCTGTCAGCATACCCCGCTGTTTCCAAGCATGCCTCCCATGGTACAGCCTCTAAAACATGCACTTGGTGATGAATGGGGTTTTTGCATGTATTTTCTTCTATGCTACTTAGAAATTACAGTCTTACTGACATCACTCTGCTGCTCATTTCTATTTGGATTACTGACTTTAGGGATTAAGTGACATTTAGCAAAGCTTCAGAAATGAAAACCTATAGTGCAACCAGAAAGCTTCCAAACAGTAGAAATTGTAAATGGATGATACCAAAATTGAGTGTTCTGAGGTTAAACATATTTGGAAAGAGTAGAGTGAACAAAACTGAAAAGATTTTTTGTTTCTGTCAGTCTGTTATATCCTTTAAATGTATAAATATATTATCCAGGCTTTAAGAGATAATTAGAACATAATACTTTTATAATTCAAATATCAATTAAGAAATTAAACCAGAATTAAATATTAAAATCACTAAAGTGAGTTTGCACTATGTCATTAAGTTATAATACAAAGAAATTTAAATAGCTAAATTTAATTCTTAGCAGAATACAGTGTTATTCTAATGGAAAGACTAGATGTCTTGGGTCTTCTAAATTCTTCTGAAACATTATTTCAAGTATTCATTCAGTATTTGTTACTTACTTTGTAGCTGGTATTCTTAGGGAATGGTTGAGGTATATGGTGGTGATAAAGAAACAGTCTGTTTTCATAATGCTTAATTCTAAATTAGTAAGAAAAACAATAAGCATGCAAAAATAATTAAATTACTCCATATAATAACAAATGTAATGGAAATAAAATTAAATAGAATTAAAAGTCAACACTAAGAATAGAAAGAAACAATTAAAAAATGGAAAGAGATGGAACAGACTCTT